AACACTGGGAGGTTTCTGAGCATGAAGACAGATCCCTAAGAGGAAAATTGGATAACATGTCTATAAGGTAAGACCAGCTAGTCTAAGGTTGAGAAAAGGCCCATGGCTTAAACTTTCGACCAAAGGCTTCAGGGAAGAAAGCACAAGGAAGAAGCCATGATTGCTAGAACAGCCATCCAATCTTGAATATTGATAAATCAAGATAGAGGACAAGCAAAATCAAGCATAATATCCCAAGGGGATGGTAAAGAACCTAAGGAGTGGATGACAACCCCAATGGAACCACCTTGAGTCAGAGAGAATGATCAAAGCAGAAAAAGGGGATGCAAGTACCCCCTAGAAAAATAAACAAGAGTGGAAATAATCACCCCATACTGGTGCAGCAATTCCAGAAAACTGCAGAATGAGCAGAGTCGTCAATTGGGATTTAAGGAGAGAATTCAACTTCTGATCAGTGAAGTCCTCAAGGTATCTATACCTTCAAACTTTCTAGTGGTATCTCTAGTAAGGTGAATAAATGGAGCATCACTACTGGGCAAGGCCCACCTATTCGTGATCCCTTCTCAAGAGAAAAAAAAACTCTGGCAATGTCTCAGGTAGGGTCCAGTATGCCTTTCAGGGAGTTTGCAGGCAGCATGGAGGCAATCCTTAACAGTGAATGTAGTGGAAAGGTCTTTGCTGCAGCTCTAAAAGACCCAAACTCTTTACCAGCAGACTGATCTACCATATGTGGGGCGATGCACACTGCATTAGTAAGGTTTAAAACAGCCCCTTGTGAATCCAAGATAACTGTGGGAGACTGTGGTGAACCAAAAACAGCCTCTCCCAACTTCTGGGATTCTGAATCTAAAATCAGAGGCTCCAGATCTGGTCTGGCTCACTGTCACAGGAGAGTCAGAGGCAGACACTGCCAGCGATGGTGGGGAAGTACGCATAAAATCCCTTTCTAGCTGGGCACAAAGAGCTAGTAAGTCACAAGTAGATTTGGGGCAGGCCTCAGCAAAGGCAACTGCAGGGAAAACAGTTCAAATGCAACCTTTTCTTGCCAAATGCTGCATTTTTTTTTATTTTAACACATTCATCTAATCATCATCATACCTTGTGTAATCTTCTGTTCTGTCATTTTCCAAGTGGTGTATCTTTAAAAAAACAAAAACAAAAAAAAAACACCACACTAAGCCTGTAAAAATGCATGCACATGCATTTTTGCAGTATTTTAGCCTAATCCCTATGGTGGTTTAAAATGCAACATGCTGCATATTTTCACAGTGCTCTGCAACACAACTGGTGAGAAAGGGAGCAATTACAATGTGAAAGTACCCTCAAGGTTTCTGGTAACAACGGCAGACTCAATGGAAAACTAATTAGCATCCTCACAATGCTGATTTATTGTCCAATGAGCAGGCAGGGTGACACCAGAAAGCTGAAACCAGAAGTAGTGGAATCATCTTCCCGAGTATGCAGTGTGACAAACGTGTGAACCACAAGACTGTCTTAACAAAATTATAGATACTTTGGTAGGTTAAGCAGTTGATTTTTGGTGTATTTTGTCAAGTAGATATCATACTATTTGAGAGTATTCTTTATACACTACTGCTCTATACAAAAACTTCAAGAGTGAAGTACAAACCATATTGCACATTCTTTCCAGATAATATATTCATCCACACAAAAAATATTAGCGCTAATGCTAAAATGCATACACGCACCTCCTAAACTAGGTATTTTTATTCATTCTTTGCTTATAACTTATTTAGTACACAGGCTAAAAACAAGTCTTGTTTGTTGTTGCTTCTTGGCCTCTACTATGTTTAAATTTTGGTTTCTTCCTCCAACCAAATCCCTTTCTGCATGGATAGTCAATGCCCCAATGTGCTTTATTGTGACAGGATTATACCATGTGATTGACAGATAGGAAAGAAACCAGATTAGATAGTGGGGCAAAAAAAGAAAACAACAAACCAAGGCATCAAATCACACATGCTCCTCTCATACAAGATATGGGCAGGGTGTATAACTGTTGGGCAGCTGGGTGTTAAACCGATCAGAAAATATACACACCTGGACAAATCTTTAAAAAACAACTCTCCTGCAAAATGTCAGTACTCACTCATTGCAGATCAAATATTGTCAAGCCACCAGATAAGATTATAGCTTAACAAAATTCTACTAAGACCTGGGAGACCAAGAGTTGGTTCACTACAAGTGTTGCACTCGTCAACACATCCTAAATGCAAAGGCATAGAAAAATACAGTGAACTGCATTGGTGTACACTGCCCAAAAAAAATTGGTATACTGTATGTTATTTTTAGTGCATTACATGGAAAGCTCTGACCAGCATTCATTGCTAATTTTGCAGACAATAAGAGCACTTTAATGAATGTGAAACAGAGCTCAATCTGGTGTAAAAAAGCTCTAAAAAAGACAGGTCAAGTAGACATTAGAATATTCTTTTATGACAATCACCACTTGTATGGGCACTTAAAATAACAAAAAAAAGCTTGATGTGTTTTATGTTGTCATTTAGCTGCCACTCCTCACAGAGCAATAAATGTGACACTTGTCATCTTCATGCCAGTTTGCAAGCATCACTTCTCCTTTATTAGCATAAGGTACCCATAAACATGAGATAATCTGCCATCAATGCCACATAAAATCAGACTTGCCTACAGTCAGGGTGTCTATGGGTTGTAACAAATCGCAAGACATGCAACCAGCACTGAAAGGGCAGTGAAGATCAGTTGGGTTGGAATTAAATGGACAATCCAAGTCTATGCCTATTTCCACATCAGAATTGATCTATTAGGGTTTGATTAAATATACCTAAAGTCCTGAAAAACAAAAAAGTAAATCACACTACCATCAAAGAAGAGATAACACAGCAATTGTTACATAAAGTACAATAGCCAGATCAAGCAGTGGAAGGGGGTAAGCAACACCATATTGTGGAGTATACAGCATGAGCCCTCCTATTTAGCAGCTAGGTTTAGGTGTCTAGTCCCATATTCAGGCCAAAAATCCCTGTGTAATGGAAAATAGGATGTAAAATCATGGGCCGCTTCAGACATAGGACATTTTTCAAAGAGGCAGTGTATCTTTCCTCCAACAACTGTAGCTGAAAGTCCATTTCTGGAGAGCAGCAATGGCTAAATGGTCACCATGCCCTCTGTTACTACAACAATCAGATTTTGCAAAGCATTGCATGTTACAAACACAAAAAGCCTCTGTAGCATCTGCTGCATTTAAAGCAGATGCACATTACTGTTAAATCCCACAGGGGAAAAAAAAAAGAAAAAAAAAAAAAAACGAACAAGAACAATCTAGTTCCAGCTCAAACTGGGTAAGATGCCCATCTCCAAACACATGACTGTCATAGATCCTCAATCAGGACAAGATATTTTATTTCCTGGCAGCGGTTTCTGTTTTTCAGTAAATAAGTGTGTTGTGTCCATTGCTGCCGTTCATATACTTCAGAGAGAGTGGAGATTATACAGTAAATCAATCCTAATAAACTGAGGCTAAGCCTGATGTGATATTAAAATGCTATCTGAACCATAAGTGAATTTTGATGCGTGACCAGTACGAGATCACATTTCACAGTCTCTATCAGTTGTGATATTCATGCACCGCAGTATCAGATATAAAACAATTCACTAAGTGCCTACTCATACAAGTTGTGATGCCCACATTTAAATCCCTTACAGCAGGGATGGACAAATTGGTATTGAATAAAAGAGCTAGTCTAGTCTGTCCAATCCAGGAGACTGCAGGATTTTGTTTTAGAAGGCAGCTCAATTGGCAACAAAAAGTCCTCAAAAGTTGGGCACCAGCTATAATTTTTAATTAGCATTGGCTACCTGGCTCCTGGGATTTGCCCAGCCATGCCTTACAGAAAGGTCTTTAGAATGCTATTCAATCAAAGCTTCTGAATCTTGCCTCATTTTTTTGTGTAAACCCAAATTTAAAACTTCTCTATGTATCATCACTCTACTAAATATTTTATTTAGTTTCATCTTTGGGTCAAATTCTTGAATGCCCATGATCCTCAGATAATGTATTTATTCCTACACTTTTCCAGAATAAATGTACATTGTAAGCAGCAAGTACATGTATCCTTTTACCAAAATAATTGATATAATTTGCAGGGTAAACGCTTGTTATTGCAATTGATCAGGGCAGTTTTTTTTTTACAGATATGTTTTAATAGTGCTTACAGCACATGAACAGATGTAAGCCCAATCCAACGAGATGGCGTAATTTATTTTAATAGGAATCAGAAAGGCAACATGGCCCCGAGTTGCTAAGAAACCACTTCCCTGTTGAAAAGGGCTACAACTTGCATGTATGCTTCAACAACCTGAGAGATAATGGTGACTGTTCGCTCAAAACCACAGGGAGCCTGGGGCCAGGACAAGACACCAATCTATGGCTAAAGGAGGCAAAAGTCACAGAACAACTGGACAGCCATTCTATTTACTGATCTTATTTTGATTTGTTGTTTATAAATCAATATATACAAAATTGCCAAGAAAGGTGGCACACATATAAATGATTACCACTAAATGATTCTATTCACTGATCTTGTGTTGTTGTTTAGATCATTAATATTTACAAAATGACCAAGAATGGCGGTACACATCTAATTGATTACTGCTAAATGATTCTATTTACTGATCTTGTTTTGTTGTTTCTATCATCAATATTTACAAGATTATCAAGAAAGGTGGCACACAAATAAATTACCACCGATTGTAAGAAATAAATCTAGAATGACAGTTGACTGAATATCCAAACTATGTCTATCTTCAAGGAGAGGAACCGATCTGTAGTCTTCTCAATGAAACAAATACCTTAACTATCTGCAATCACACAATCCACGTTATTTGCCAAGCTTTATGCAAGAATAAAAAAGGATGAAGAAAGCACACACAGACACAGAGGATGAGGTAAGAGTGTGAGACTGCCAGTGGAAAGCCTCACACAACAACTCTATGGGTACCTTTTCTCTCCTGGCTTTGTTCTGTTGCTTCCTCTGCTGCAGTTTCCATGGCTGGTTTCATCCCATGCACCAAAAATGCTTTTTAAATTCAGCCCTCCAACAAACACTTTGTCTTCCTTAGCTGTAGATTTGCTTCTCTGTCTCCTATTTACAGCTGCTGTGATTGAGTGCCTCTGTTTTGCACTACACTAGATTACAGCCCTTTCCAAGATGCAGACTTGTCAGCTCCAATTCCGCTCTGCCTACTGGTCCTCCAAGATTTCTGCCAGAAAACAGTCATACGTCATGCAGGATCCCTTGCTAGAAAATGGCCATTCGGAGCTTGATTGTACCCAGACTTGCTGAGAGCTTAATCCAGTAAGAGGGGGAAATCTGCTGCCACTCCCCCCCACCCTTTTTCAAGCTCAACCACTCCTATTCCCTCCAAAGCCTCCCTCATAAAATGCTAATCACTCCTCATAATTTAAGGATACACATGTGACACCACCACAGGGACGTTTGGGAAGCAGAGAGTTCCTGTGTCACATGACACTTAAAGTTGGACTCTTCCATGTAAATTATTTGTCTTTCTGAGAAAAGGTCTACTGCATTATCACACAGGGTTTTCCCCAAGGGGCCATTTTCTCACTTTGCCATATGATTGATCCCATATGCATTATACTTTGCACACACTATGGCTTTGTACGAGCTAAGAAGCAGCACTGACCACCGAGAATCATGGAAGCAGACTGTTAGCTTGTACATTATCAGGGCTCACATGGCACAGACCTCTATCAACGACATAAGGATGGAGATAAACAAAATAGTGGAATTTTGGAAGGAGGCAGGAACCAGATGGATAAGAAGTTACAATCCAGCTGTCTGGTTTTATTCTTTGTAAACTTCCTGCGCGTCTTATAACAAAATACACTTTATATATCTATATTATATATATATAATGGGAATACACTTCAATATATAAAATGGGAATACATGTCAATTGTGTATGTCAGCCTGGTAAATGTTTGTCTTATAACATTTTCCATTCCCTCAAGCAAGAAAACATAGGGGTACATTGATAATTTGCTCCATCAGTTGTTTCCAATAGCTGAACTTCAAGCAGATATATATTATACAATTTTACCTCCTTATGTATTATAAGCAGCATACATCTGTCCTGAAGTACCCGAATTGTCTTAATATCGGCTTTCTGTCATGTTTTGTACAGCATAACTTACGGCGGGGTACAGCACTAGGAGCTAAACAGGCTCTGCTGCATGCACATGTGCTGACAGGGAACACACCAGCAGGAGGGGAGAGCAGAGTGAGAAGAGTAGATTACTTATCTGTGCGTTTCTGCTCCTTTATTGTCAAATCAGCAGGCGTGGTTTCAGGCGATAACACCACTGAATTTCTAGAAGAGAAATTAGCATCAAGCTCCTGGCTGTGCAGTCTCTCAGGAGATGCATTAATTGCCCAAGAGGTCTACGTTGGACATTTACAAGTCCTTTTGTAGATGTATTAGTCCAGGGGCAGGAAACCTCGGCACTACAGCTGTGGTGGGACTACAAATCCCATCATGCCTATGGGAGTCATGCCTGTGATGGTCAGTCTTGCAATGCATCCTGGGACTTGTAGTTTTTGCACAGCGGCAGTGTTAAGGTTGCCTACCCCTGCATTAGTTTTCCTTTTATTTCCAGTCTTTTTTTTCAGCCTCTACATTTTCCTGGTGATCCTGCCACACATCCTGTCCTAAGGAAACAACACTCACCATACTGTATCCATCAAGAAGCAGCAATCTCATGACTGCTCTCCTGTTTTGAACTACAAACACATGTCCTTCTCACCTTCACCACGTTTTGTAGTTTACAAAAGACAGCTGGGAAGGCTGAGATTTCAGCTCCGTGCACAGGTATTTGCAAGGAAACTATATTTCTGGCAAGATCAACTGGTAATTTTCTGTACTTTCAGAAAATGTGCTTGCCATGAAAACAGAAAACCTATACAGCCACCACATCTAAGGACTGGTAAGCTGCAATATATAACATTTTTATTCTTGGGTTTAGAAAACGGTAATTTCTGCTAAATAATGATTGTTTGAGGATTGCGAATTCTGTGCGTATGACCATATGTCTTTGCCATATCGGGCTGGATGTACTTTTCAAGCGATCAGAACCCTAAACCAGTACGCATGACCATATGACTTTGCCAGATCAGGTTGGATGTACTTTGCGAGAGATCAGAACTCTACGCCAGACTGACTCTATACCCTGAGAACTATGGGGAAAAACACTGACCCCATAGTTCTCCTTTAAGTATTTTTTCACTTTTAAACCCTTTTATTGCACTGTTGCTTATGTTTATTTTTGTAATATATTTTCAGTAAATGTTTCCTGCACCATTTTTCATGCCTCTTTATTAAAGTATTGATGCTAATTCTCTCAATGCTCCAACTAGAAATTAAAGAACTGTGCCTCTGTGAAGAGCTACCAGTAATTTAAACTCAGTTACATCCCTGTCTGGCCGCAGCAGTGAATCATACACATTTTAAAAGTCGAAACTGCAACAGCAGATGCTATGAATGGCGTGTGCTTCTGTTAATAGTGATCAGAAATGTGCTATGAAATAAATGTGGGCTGTCATGGCTAACTTTTCATTTAGAAAATGCCAAAGCCCTGGCTATCATGCCAATAGGTTAAATAGTTTGATTCACTGACCTAAGACAAATATAGGTATAAGGAATTATGACTTTTATCCGATTTGGTTGCTGTTTGCTCTAGGTCATGAAATACAGATGGTAACAAAGTTACACAACTAGCATTTTCACAAAGAGGCCAGAAATGGCAGCCCCCATATCCCTCTTGATAATAATGCACAAGGAGACCTTAGGAGCTCAGCAAGCAAGTCAGTTTATTCTCTGTCAGCAGGGTTGAATTCTATAGAGCAACTGATACTAGCACTACTGTACCTACAGCCTCACACCTGTAAACCTGCAGTGTGAGAGCTAAGGCACTGCAGGCCTGTGTCAGCTAGTCTTTGGAGATTTGGAGTGAGATTTAATGACGTCACTACGGCGCTGCTCACATGCTTCTTGCTTGAGGCCTCTGACATGTATGGTAAAGCCCTACCTCTACCAAGATGACTGCCTCCACACAGACACAATATAGAGCAAGGCATGGTAAGTCAGTGATAGGAAAAGATCAGCTGCAGAGAAACCATAGTAAATATTGGCGACTAGTCCTTTGCCCTCTGTTAAGCACAGCTTCCAGAATTCAGATGCTCTTTAAAAAGCATTTCCTACAGTCGTGTTGATCTTAATGATATATTTTCACATTTAATTCCAGGTCCACTTCTGCAAAAGCCTGATCTGCATTAAAAAAAAGCACAGAACTAGATTAAGTATAGCACGTAATTTGGGTCTAGGTAACCCAGTACTGGACAAATCCCAGGAGCTTGGTAGCCATTGCTCCATATAAATTACAGGTGCTACTTTTCAGGTTCTCTAGTTGTTGTCAATGGAGGGGCTCCTAAAACAATCCTGCAGGCTCTTGGGTCGGACAAATTGGCTCTTGCATTCCATATTAACTTCTCCACCTTTGGAGGTAACTGCTGTAACTCTGTAGAAGACAGCAGTTCTCTACACCATCTTCTTTGCATCTCTCTCTGTTATGTTAAAGCAAAAACCCATAGGTGATCAGGCCCAAAGTGTTAATGACAATTACTGGGTATCCGCACCTAAACACTAATTAACCCTCTAACATCATTATTTTATTAAATCACTGATTTCCCCAAATTATTGCATACATACAGTACAGTATGTCATGGAAAAAAATAAAAAAAAACACATTTTCAAACATGCTCAGTTAAAAAGCTGCCCGTTTTGAACATTATCACAGAGTTCATATCACTTGAATGTTTGTCTTTGTAAATGTTTACATTATTTGTGGGCAAAACTAAGGATAGCACAATAAGAGGAGCAACTATAAAGCATTAACATTAAGTACAATACATGGAGAAGAATGGTGTTATTCAGGTAGGGGTTTGTGAGCTACATTAAAAATGGATTTGAGCTAGATTATGCACATATGGCAATTGTAATTAAGCAGCTTGCAGTGAGGAGTACATTGCAGTGACTTGAAGACAGTGCAGTCCCCATGTGGCATCATGTCTGCCATCTTTCAAAAGACAGCGGTCACATAAAAACTGTGCTCAATACTCAGTCACAAGATGCTGAAAACACCTGTATATTAGATAGGTAACAAGGGCAAAACAATTATGTTTTATAATGAAATGCTTCCATTCTGTCAAGTAAAGTGCCTATTAAAAACCCTCAAGCAAACAAACAGATGGCACACACAGCTACAGAGCTTCTGTGGGTGTAGAGTATAAAGCATGAAAAAGATCCGAGGCTGGCAAAGAAAACTGAGCCAATTATTATTAAGGGAATGAGAAAAGATACAAAACAAAATGTATAGAAATTCTGAAAGTGCAGTTTAACATTCATAGCACTATTCTAAATGATGCAATAACGGCAATATTACACAGTGAGATTTATTAAAACTGTAGGGAAAAAAAGGGCTAACCAGGTTTTCATTTAGCACCCAAGGTGAAAAGGCCAAAGTGTGCCCCCACAATGAGATGTGAATCACCTTGGCAGCATAAGTTGCAGGTTTCTCCCTTTTTTGCGCCTCCCGCTGCTGAAGTGTGCACAGTAGCAGTCTCTTCTTCCTACCCCTTGGCCTGGCCCAGAGGACCGTTGCCGATAGTAAATCAGGTTTTCATTTTAATGTTAAAACATGATCATGATAAAATATCAATTTATGTGGTAGCAATGATAGTCTCATGGGGACCCTATGACGTTAAATGGAATGTATAGTGGCTTTGTATTTCTTTTCAACCCTTAAAAAAATTAGCGTTTCACCCAAAATGCCCATTTACAAGAATTGCATGTACATTGTGAAAGGCAACATATGCCTGGTAAAGTGCCCTTAGGGTACATTCACAAAGGGTTGCAGAGAATTCAGTGCTAGTGTTTTGCCTAGTTTTCTAGTGGGCATAGAAAACAGTGTCCCTTTTATTGGTGTCGATGGAAGGTTGTGCCCTATCATTGGTGTCAATGGAAGGTGGTACCCCACCAATGGTGTCAATGGAAGGTGGTGCCCCATCAATGGTGTCAATGGAAGGTTGTGCCCCATCAATGGTGTCAGCAGGAGAAATGGTACCGCATCATTGTTGTAAATAGGGGGAGTGTCCTATAGTCGGTGTCACTGGGAGCAATAGTACCTAAAGGGCCAGGTAAAGGCTAGCAAAGAGCTGCGTCTGGTGCGCAGTCTGAAGTTTGGAGACCACTGAGGACATACACAGCTGTAGGTGAAACATACAAATTGTAGTCTGCATTAAATTTGGATA